TTTCCGGAGCCGTAGATTTTGAAAACGACCTTCATTTTAAGATTAGGCCACCGCGTTTCGACTTATTTGAGTTTTTCGGATATTTTTCATATGAGGGTGTATTTTTATGTTTCCGGAGCTGTAGATTTTGAAAATGACCTCCATTTTAAGATTAGGCCACCGCGTTTCGACTTATTTGAGTTTTTCGGATTTTTATCATATGAGGATGTATTCTTATGTTTCCGGAGCCGTAGATTTTGAAAACGACCTCCATTTTAAGATTAGGCCACCGCATTTCAATTTCTTTGAGTTTTTCGGATTTTTTTCATATGAGGATGTATTCTTATGTTTCCGGAGCGGTAGATTTTGAAAACGACCTCCATTTTAAGATTAGGACACCGCATTTCGATTTCTTTAATTGTTTCGAATTTTTATCATAAAAGAGTGTATTCTTATGTTTCCGGAGTCGTAGATTTTGAAAATGACCTCCATTTTAAGATTACGCCACTGCGTTTCGGCTTATTCAAGTTTTTCGAATTTATCCAATTTAAAGGTCTACTTTTATGATGCCGGAGCCTTAGTTTTTAAAACGACTTACATTTTAATATTAGGCCACTGTGTTTCGGTTTTGTTAAGTGTTTTTGATTTTTCCTTCTAATAAAAAACATAATACGAAGGATTAATTTATTTTTCAATAAATAAATAAAAATATCTAATCAAAATAAATAAAATATGTATTGTCTCATTTTTAATTTAATTTTAGTTATCTTTTTTAATGTTGTGGTCTCCTATCACAAAATTATAAGATTTCGAACAATTAGCTGAAAAATCTGAATACGGAAGGTTAAATTTATTACCAGTTGCTTTTCGGCTTTCTAGTTTGTATTCTGTGGTTAATTTTACTTTAGCTTCATAATATTTATTTATTTATTCATACTCGAAAACATATTGATGAAACTTTGTATTGAAAAAATCCAAAATGAAGCCTAATTAATCAAGATGCAGCGGCTTGATCATAAAATGGAGCTTAAATATTAGATAAATTTAAATATTAAAGATTTGAAAAATTTCAATATGTCTCGGATAACATATAAGTAGATCCTTATACCGAAAAAGTAAAAAAAAAAAACTTTTATAATCCAAAACAGTGGCATAAACTTTAAATTGGGTCATTTACAAAATGGGGGAAATATACTGCTCCAGAAACATAAAATTAGACCTTTATACTTGTTAAATTCTAAAAATTTAAATAAGTTGAAACGCAGTTGCGTAATCATAAAATAGAGGTCATTTTCAGAATCTACGGTTCCGAAAACATAAAAGTAGACCTTTAAATTGGATAAATTCGAAAAACTTAAATAAGTCAAAATGCAATGGCGTCATCATTAAATAGATGTCATTTTCAAAATCTACGGCTCAAGAAACATAAAAGTAGACCTTAATATTGGATAAATTCGAAAAACTTAAATAAGTCAAAACGCAGTGGCGTAATCATAAAATGGAGGTCATTTTCAAAATCTACAGCTCCGGAAACATAAAAATACACCCTCATATGAAAAATATCCGAAAAACTCAAATAAGTCGAAACGCGGTGGCCTAATCTTAAAATGGAGGTCATTTTCAAAATCTACAGCTCCGGATACATAAAAATACACCCTCATATGAAAAATATCCGAAAAACTCAAATAAGTCGAAACGCGGTGGCCTAATCTTAAAATGGAGGTCGTTTTCAAAATCTACAGCTCCGGATACATAAAAATACACCCTCATATGAAAAAAATCCGAAAAACTCAAATAAGTCGAAACGCGGTGGCCTAATCTTAAAATGGAGGTCGTTTTCAAAATCTACAGCTCCGGATACATAAAAATACACCCTCATATGAAAAATATCCGAAAAACTCAAATAAGTCGAAACGCGGTGGCCTAATCTTAAAATGGAGGTCGTTTTCAAAATCTACGGCTCCGGAAACAAAAAATTAGACCTTTATATTGGATAAATTCTAAAAACTTAAATAAATCAAAACACAGTGGCGTAAACGTAAAATAGATGTCATTTTAACAATTTACTGATCGGGAAACATAAAAATACACCCTTATATCGAATAAGTCAAAAAAACTTAAATAATTCGAAACGCAGTCACGTAATCTTAAAAAGGAGGTTATTTTAAAAAACTACTCATACGATAACAGACCCACGCGTCGAAAAATTAAAGATAATTAAATAAATAAAAAAAGGTTGAATTTGAAATGGAAAAGGTTTAATTTTAAATGGAAAAGGTTGAATTTGACTTGGAAAAAGTTTAATTTGATTTGGAAAAGGTTGAATTTGACTTGGAAAAGGTTGAAATTGACTTGGAAATGCTATATATTATGTTCCAGGTGTTTAGTTAAAACACAGTCACAATTTTATCAAAAAATAGCACCAATTTCCTAATAAAAAGTAAATATGTCTAAGAGACGAGGTAACGGTAGTATTTCGTAATCTAGCGCATGCGCAGAACTCCTAACCAGAGGATTAAAAATTTGTTTTTAAACTGAGTTGGCGTTGGAAAAGGACCTTATATGTGTCATCAAATTTTTGTTGGTCATTTTACGCATACGCTAAAGTTATATACAATTAAATTTAGAAACCAATTATAAAAGGTTCATAAACTGGAATTGAGGTCGAAACTTGGCATTAAAATTCTATAAAATTTTGTAAAAAGATATCTAGGAAACAATCACTTTTCTGTACTTTGAATCCACTCAGACCACCGCCTGGAGAGGGTAACGTTCCCATCCAGAGAATCATTGGGAGGTGACCGGACCCATAGCTCTTGGCCTGGTACTCCAGGTTGGGGGTTGGGCATAGGCTGATAATCCCCCATCACAAAAAAACTAGCGGAAGTTTGCTACAAAAGATTGCCAACCATCCTTCAGGAAATTTCCTGATGAAAAGGGAGTGAATTTTGATCACGTTCGGTCAGTAAACCACGTGCTCTCAATGATGAAAGAACCAAATGACCACTGCTGTCACCTATAACGGCCCTAAAAGCTGCTAAAGAAGAATCGTGACGAAAATGTCGAAATCAACAGGGTTAAGAAAAAAAAAATTATTTTGAATAAAAAAAATTATAAATAACAAACATTTTTTTTTTTAAACATTATATATCATGATTTGGAATACCTCGAAAAATATATACTTATATTTTTAAAATGTATTCACTCCACTTTATATTCCGCGAGCTAGCATTTTTTTTTACCTCAGAATCAACAGAAGATTTGACGTGGGGGGAGGGAAGGTATGGAAAATCTAAGGGTGGCTTTGGTGTGAAAGATGTTTTAAAATATTTAAAACATGACAAAAATAACCTCATAAACACACGCGTATATTTTTCAGGTAAGCACCTTTACCAGTATAAAATTTTAATGCAAGAATGTCTGACGTTGTTTATGACATGTTCTTTTCAAAATTTACTATTTTTTATGAGAATGAGTTAGTCGGGGGTGCGGTCAGATAAATACTAAATTAAAATATAGTAGTTATTTTATTTTAATTTTGCCGACGTTTCGACCCACTTTGCAGGTCGTCTTCAGGGCTACAAAAGATACAAAACATGTTGAGAATAAAAATTAAATATAAGTAGATATAAAATAAGAAGAAGTTGTCAGATACAGAAATAAAAGATGATATCAGAGATATAGTGGGTGACAATGTAGTAAAATATTAAGTATTATATATGTAGAAAATACAAATAAATGGAAAATAAGTAAGAATAAAAATAAAAATAAAGGAGAATATAGCATGTAAGTTAAAAGTAAACAGATTGCGATAAAAGGTAAGGAATAAGTGTATAACAAACTAATAGAGATTACATTAGGTAACTGTTGGTTAACAGATAAAGAAAATGAATGTTAACGAATAAATAGATTGAAAATTGAATAAGTAATGTTATAGTAAATTTAAAATTTATTTTAATTTTAAAATTTATATTTTAAATTTATTCTCAACATGTTTTGTATCTTTTGTAGCCCTGAAGACGAACTGCAAAGTGGGTCGAAACGTCGGCAAAATAAAAATATAATAACTACTATATTTTAATTTAGTATTTATCTGACCGCACCCCCGACTAACTCATTCTCATATTATATCAACGGTCAACCATCTCTACATCATTACTATTTTTTAGTTTGATTGTTCGAACTCTCCAAGATATTATGTTAGATTTTATGCGAGATTCTTCCGGGAAGTCTGAATTAATTCTAAACTGAGATGGATACTGAAATAAATCTAAAGTAAGATTGATGTAAACTGTCAAGCGTGTCGCATTTGAGTTAGTTTCGACCAAAATTTTAGAAATTTTCCTGTCTGGAAGAGGAAAATAAATAAACATTTTCGTCTAGCAAGATATTTTCTAGTACGACATTTACAGGAAAAAAAAATAATACGTTCTGCCTATGAGATAATTTTTTTTATTATTATTGAGAAAATATATTTTTTTTAAATTTATGTTCGTCTCGTTGGCAGAACATACTCAGATATTTTGTCAGATTTTATGCTAGACTCTTCTAGGAAGTCTAGAAATTGATATAACTTATATTCCAAGCTTGTGACTGTGCTTATGAGATAATTTTTGTGATTTTTTTTAATATTTTAAAAAATCTTAAACACCAAAGCCATCCTGAGAAATTGTCAGACAATTTTTTTCTTCGAATTAAATGATGAGATCTTTCATATTGTCTAACATTCTGCTGCTTATGGGGTAGGGAAAAATTGGTAGCTCTCGGAGTAATAGATGATTAGGATAATATACTATAGAACAATATGCAAACATTATTAATCAAAGTTCTATATATATGTATTTACTGGAGTGCCTAAATATGAATAATCAGGACACAAATCTAACAATTTACATTATTCAGCAATAAAATAAGTAAATTTTCCAATGCCGAGACCACTTTCTGATTTCAATTGTCTATACCTGAACATGAGTTACAACTTAGAAAAAAACAAAAACCACATTAGTATCTAAATTTTAAACCTGGAAGCTTGTGGTTATTTGGACAAGGGGATTCGGGCCCAAGTTATTTGGGATGCAGTAGTCATCGCTTGTTATCGTTCGGACAGTACGATATTGGCAGGCAGCCCACCCCTCCATGCTCGGTTCGGGAGCTCTGTACGCCTGGCCCTGATAACATTCAGTCATGGGACTGCTTCGCTTCGTGTCGTTACTCCTCTTCATCGGGATCGCCGTCGACTGTTCTCAAGAAGACGTCTTCCTCAAGAACATCTTCAACAGATATGGAGGTACTAAAGGAATCACGTTTGAGGTAAGTCAGCACTTTATACTTCTTGGATATACTTAACTGTAGTAAAGATATGGATAAAATAAAATTGAATCAAAACGACAGACTGATAGCCCGAATATACTACGTGCACATAAAATGGAATTCATAGCAGGATTTTTTCTTTTATATTTTTAAATATAAACTTAATATTCCAGTCATTAAAAAAAATAAAAAATAATAAAACAGCTGTTAGTTACAATGTTACAACACAAACAGCACTGTTTACATTTGAATAATATGAAATGTCATTACATTTATGAAAATTTATATTCCAGTCTTGAATAAAATGCAATAATAAAAAATATTTTAATTTTTTTCTATTCCACTATTTTTTTGAGTTGCAAATCAGATAAAATTAACAGCAACAATACCGAGAAAAAACTTTTCACACATAAATTATATTAAATCACAAAACAAAACATCTCAGAGAAACAGTATAATGTAACATATGTATATAAATGCACAGATGTTCTACAACTTATCATACATTTGTTATAACCAGGTCTTGAAATGGACTTGCATTTTTTCAAAAGCCGTATTTTAACCGTTTCTGGGACGCTTTTTAGGAAAAAAAGTTGTAAAAATAATTGTTCAACATATAGAATAAAAGTTGAACTTTTATTCATTTAAATTCTTAAAAAGGAAGTTTCGTTAAATGAGAAATACACAGTAATGGTACTAAGAATAGAGTTATAATAAGGGGTGCCCATCGCCCCTGAAGGTCGATGGTGCACAAATGCTCCCTCTACCCTTTCCAAGAAATTTTATTAATCTCCAGTTCTTAAAAACAATACAGGTAAGAGAAGAATAAAAAAAATGTAGATCATATACACTTTTTTTTTCTGTTCTTCCCTACCTCACCTTTCAGGCTATACGGGATTTTCCCGGGCCGAAGGGTGAGTGCGGGGAATTTAAAATCCCCTCTGGCACCGAGACGCGAACTCGTACTTTTCTTCAATCTCAAATCTTGGTTATCTGGTTGCCAGAGAACTCGCGATGCTGTGCACACACGGTAGGCCATTTGGGTACCCCGCCGCTATATACAATTAAACTTGCTGTGGTCTTGTCCATGTTTTTCCCTTTTCTCCTGGTTAAAAATTTTAATTCCGAAAATTCTCGACAAAATGAGCCCCCCTCAAAAATTTTAATAGCGGAACTTGCGCCATGGAACCTCCTTCTGGGTACTCCTACTACTATAATTCATCTTAAATGAATCACTAGATTCTAAATTGTCGTCTCATTTGCTACAATACATAATAGCCACCATTAGATCGACTTTTATGCAAAATGAACTCAATTTTTAATTTTTTTTTAAATAGAAATCCTGTAAAATTTTCACTTAAGGATTTGCAAGGAAAATAGTTCCTGCACCTAAATAATAGGGAAAATGAAAATGAAGATTTTAGTCAAACAGAAACTGATTAAAAATAAAAGTTATAATTTAATTTAAAGCCCTGGTATATAGAGATAGATGATATTGTTATTTACTGGTGTAAATAAGTGGTGTAACTCGATTTACGGCATTGAAAATAAAAATTTGACTTAAAGATTAATGTATCTATTCGTAAGAGTTTCAGTTTCTAAAACACTGATAAACATGAATTCTAGACGCATCTCAAAATAGTTATAAAGTCTAAATAAAAGATAAACTAATAAAGCTTACTTCTCAACTGTTGTGTTTTCGTTGAGAATGTAAATAAATAAACGAAAACAAAACCGAATTTATTTAAAATTAAAACTTTTTGTTTTCTGTATGTACATAATCGAGAATCTATTTCGTAAATATATTTACTGCAAATCTCTTTTGTATGTTTTATATCTGTACTCCGGAGGTAAACAATACCATGTCCATTTTTGTATTTTTTCAAAGGAGCCAACGTTCCATAACTATGATCCATAATTTGTTTCTTAGTCATATAAATTTGTATTCCGGAGGTAAAGTACACTCTGTCACATTTTTGTGTTTATCCAGAGAGCCAATTATCCATAACTTTGAGCAATTAAAATTTGTTTCTTTGTAACAAAATTCTTTAATACAAAACTGGGCATGGTGTCCTTTACCTCCGAGTCACATATATAATAAGTAAAATTTTAAATACCACTTACTTATAACCTATCTCTAAATCGATTTCTCTCTTAATAACCAAATTCAACATTAAGGCAGTCGTTGCTACTATCAGGATGTATTTGTGTACAATCTATTTGAACAGTGTCATTACGTCCATGTAAATCTATAACGGTGGATATAGTCAATTTTCACATCCCCATTAATATTATTAAAGTAAGGCTCTAAATGGGTTTTGCACCAAATATAAGCTCCTATCATGCTCAAATGAATGGGACACCATTGGATCTAGAATTTCACGGTGGGTTAGCGAATCGTACTTTATTTTCATCTACAACGTCTTAAACTACTAAGCCATTATCAAGGAGAAGCTTATTATAATTAAAAAAACCTTCCGGCTAATAAATCTTGACCTTGATTTGTTCATCAGTTTTCAATCCATATATAATGAGAAACAGAAGTTACCGTAATGTACCCGCGTAAAAGCCCCCCTTTAAATGTTTGTAACAAAGTCTGACTGAACTTGAAGAAAATCGTCAATTACCTAAATTAAACATTTTTCTATTTATCGCTTCTTATTCAATAAAAACCGTTACTTTCCAAAAAAAACACAACACTAAAATTTCTTACTTTTATTTTGAAACTCCGACCATGGATTATATGAACTTTTTTGTAGCTTTTGAGGCTTCAGGTCACTTCTTTAACTATTTCTCTTTATTTACGGGACATCATGAAAGGAACATTTTTGCTGAGGATAAGAATACATTTCAATAATTAATTGAAGTTGTTGTCAAGATTGTTTCAAAATTTAAAAAATAAAAGACGCACTTGAATACTAAACAAACAATTAATAAACCATCCAGTAAACCTAAAATTGTATCCGATATATGATTGTCAACATTTTCAGAAAACGGTAAAATCGAAGTGCATGTATATTCAAATTTAGAAGTTAATTCAGAATTTGTTGCCGTAAAACAGTCTTTAGCCGTGATATATGTATTGCAGTATTTCCTTGGAAATAGTTAAAAGACATAACGTGAAATTTAATAAATTAAGTCAATTTAATACTATATTGAGACATGGTATCAATTTGAAATCCTTAGTTATAAAGAATAAAAACAAAAAATTATATTACAATAATTAAAAAAAAAAATATTAAGGTTTAGGTAAAGATTATAAACTTTATCAAACGTTACATACATAGAATTGTTTATCAACTAAGTACTTACGCAACATTTATTGCTATTCATTAATAACATTACGTAAAGCATCGTCAGTGTTATTTCTTAACATAAAACCTATTTAAGGAATCTAATTACCTTATTATATAGTGTTTAACATACATAATGGTGTACGTGTGGTATAAGATTATTTTCATTTTAATAATTTACTAAACGGATAATTTCTATAAAATTTTCAGCTGAATTTTGAACTTGGTTGGTACACCGCAGAAAGCCCTAATATTTTGACTAGCTAATTTTCTTAATACATTTAAAAATAATAATTAAACATTAATATAAAAAGGGTTTTTACAAGCTAATATAATTTACAAGCTACAACTATAACTGAAATAAAATGAATCGATAAGAAATTATTCCGAAAGTGATTGACACAACGAAAATAAGACATGCCGTTAGAACTTGGCAACTTCTTCTAAAGATATTCACCCTTCACTATTTCTAGAATTGATTCATGCTTAATCAGAAATTTAAATTATTGTTTCGTTATCGGACTGTTAATGCCAAGTCAACGGGTCTATTATTAAACTTATAATCATGACGACACTTAGTAAGTATACAAATATCATTAAAGTTTTTGTGAATGGAGATTAAACAATTGAAAATTCCACGAAATATATCGAAGTAAAATTTTTCTCGTGGATATCTTTTTATTTGACATGTTGGTTTATTTTTAATAATGAAACATTATAATCAACTAAGAAAAACAAAAATTTAACACTCTCCCGCCTCGAATTTTGATGTTTGAAAAAACGTGTGCCGCTTTAGATTGCACCGCTTAAACGGCAGTGACGATTTTAATGAACCTAAACTAAAGTGTTCTCGAAATCCTATAAATTATGTTTATAACATACTTCCTCGAAAAGAGGCTGGTAAAAAAGTTATGACGAATACAAAATATTATTCACAAATTCCTCAAAAATAATAATACGTTATTATGAATGCGCTTGATGAAAAGACAATGAAATTACCCAAAACAAAGAAAACAAAAAAAAAGCACAACAAAATCGGAAAACTTGGTGCAGAGATATGATGTTTTGAACTTTTTGCATTTCGTGGGTTTATTGCAAAATGAATTATGAGACATTTCATAATCTCACATAGTTAAGAGCTTCGGTGAATTTTCCCTTCATGAAAACATAAAAATGTGTACTCAGAATAACTCTTTATGATAAATAAAAGGATTTGTATTATGCTCAGGCAATTAAGGTCAAAATCCAAAAAAAACCTATACTTGAAAATCAACCTATATCAAAAATAGACTTTTTGCAATAAACTGAAAATATGTTGGCAAAGTTGTTTCTTTGTATTTTATAATATAAATAACCAAAATAATACTTCTTTAATACTTCTTTTCTACGAAACGAATCTCGACTTCTATTGTTTGAAAATTTGATTTTTAAAATTTTTAAACAAAAAAATTATAGTAAAAACGTCATAAGGAGGCAATTTTTTACTTTCCTACCTATACTAAAAGGAAAGTGTTGCGATAGGGTCAAATTTCCGATATGCTGTTTTCGACGGTTCTATACGTTTCAGAGAATCCTGAGTCCGAAAAACACATTTTAGCCATTGGTCTGTCTGCGCCAAGATTTTCTCGGGAACTAGTAAACCGATTTTGTTGTTTCTTTTTTCATTTTGTAGGGTTTTGACTACTGCATTTGACACAAATTGGGTGC